TCTAAGAGCTTGTTCATTTTTATTGCCAAATTAAACGATAAGATGCTTGGAATAACCCAAGTGTTGACCTCATTCGATTGCACACTCGATATCATATATCAACAATATTTTTATATGAATCTTGTAATTTCCAGTTTAAGCAATTATCAGGCAGTATCCGCTTTGACTGAATGTGGTCTTTTTCACTTACTTGTGTTGTCTTATAAAATTCGATGATAAGTTATTCGATGATAAATTATTATTACATCATAAATTACTATACCGTAAAAATTCTGTATTAAAAAACTAACGAAAGTGGAGTGAGGAAGCTGAAATGACACGATACCGTTTAACATCAAATTATGGATAATAAATCCGATAAAAATAGACGCGTCAGTATAAATCACGTGTTCCAATTGGGATTGCGTCTGTCGGAGGATTTGTCGATGTTAATTAATGGCGATTAATGAGTTTGGTTCGATGAGTTCCGCTGGGAAAAATATAAAGATCGTACATACCGACGTAGCGGCTTCGGTGATTAGAACTCAGAACGAGCAACAAGTGGCGCACGATGTCTCTCATTATCGGCCAGTTATGGATAGACTCGCCTCTTCTTTGTTTTATGTAGTGTTTGAAAATTTCACGGCGGCTTATCGCGATACGTCCGATCCGACTATTAATAATCGACGACAGACACGAGTGTGAAGGTCTTGCATTATTCACGCTACTACCCTCATGATTCTTTTCCGGCACTTACATTAGATTGGAATCTCATCTAGGTATTTCAAAACTCAATCTATATATATAGTGGCTTAAAATAAAAGCCTCTAAATTAAAATGCCTGAAAAATTTCGGGAAAAGAACGAATTTTATATATACTTCTGTATTAATGAGAAATATAAATACACATTATCCTTTCTCGTATTTCCATTTTGTTCTTTGACCTGGATATTGTGGATGAAAGAATTTACAACGTGAAAGAATTTAATAAGAAATAATACTGCTTCTCTCTCCCTTGAGCATTTCGTGATAAAGTCAACATTTGAAATTCTACGGGAATCAAGCTGGAGCCAAAAAATTAGCACGTTGATTTACTCCATGTAGCATATACCTCGTATCTCACGTGGCATCTCGACTGCATGCTGCACTTTCCCACTAGCACGTTCCATCTTGGAGTACCAGAACGTGACTGTAGCTTTTTCGTAAGCTTCTCCTTCTTATTCCTCTCCTTCTTTCATTCGTTCAAGAACGAGACAAAAATATCTTAATAATATAATGTATTCGTATTCTCTAAAATTTCATATACTATATACATATATTACCTAATTTACGCGATTATACTTCCTTGTGATTTGCTAAACTTCTCTTCCAAAGGATTTAAGTTCACTGCATAAACGAAATTTCCTCTTGTTCAAGACTCACCATTTCACCTACATATATCCCGGTGAACTACAGCTTTTTCTAAAATAGGCGAAGTTGAGTTCAGTCCTCTTAGTAGAAAGTAATCCCCCGATTATCCCTCTCGGATCTCCCGGGAATGCAGCGGATTCACATATGAAAGAGACAATCTTTCAGGGAGGGTGGCAACGCGTTGTAACTCGCGATAATTCCGTTAATGCACATATGTCGTGCAGCTCTAACGAGTTATAATCAGTCGAGCACCGGCTGAGTACAGTTTAATGGTTTATTCCTCGCATTAGGCACCCTTCTAGTCCCTCTTTCCCACCTTGGCTTCTATCTACGTTCTCTCCTCTCAACTATCTCTTCCATGTCTCCCTCCCCCCCCCCCCCCCCCCCCCCCCTCTCTCTCTCTCTCTCTCTCTGCCCGGACTTCCACAATAATGCAAGCTCCATCGGCGAGATAGTACGACGAACGCGCAATTTGCGGCCGAGCTCTGGCTTTCTCGAATAATTGATGCAATTTCCGGGTTGCGAGCGAGCTGCGAATGACCCCGAGAATTTGGATTTTAGGTAGATTCACGAGATGTTCACGTCACAAAGTGAACATTAATTTCCGCATACTCTCCGTACGGTATTAAATCGCGAACGATTTTTCTAAACAGCCAGATTCCTATCCTCATACGTTGAATAATTGTTGATTTTCAGGAAATCTCATTCGAATCCGATTTCGCGTGAGAATTAGAGCATCATTTAATCATTTTCAGTTGAACCCGTTCAACGTCCAAGAGCATTATTAAATCGTTAATAACTTCACATGAAGGAGATTATAGGTACAGAATAATACGAGTCCCTACTGGAGAGTGTTCGTATTTTCCTTCATCGATATTTACGAGCCTAGTATAATTGGACAATTTTTTTCAACTTGGTTGTGAAAAATTGTTTATAACAAATATTTTCCACAATCTTACATAATTTTAAGTTATAATCTTATTCCTCGAATTTTGACCTTCAAAATAAAAAAATGCTCTAAATTTTTGGGAATGAACTTTCACTCCCATAGAATGATAATTGCGCCTGTCCATCAGGAGTGAAATTTTCACTCTTACCATTAGAGAGTGAAAAATCACTCCAAATAGGAGTCAACTTTCTATCTATGTGGAGAGTGAATAATTCAACTCTCCGAAGGGACTTTACATCTAATCTAAAAATTATTAAACTCATTCGACGTGTTTTCGTATAAAACGAACGAATATGGTAGAAAAAAAGCGTCGCTCTGTCTCGCAAAGCGAGATATTAATAATTAAAATTGATTTTTTAGATTAGATTATAAACTTCACTCCTGAAGGAGTAAAGTGTGAAGTTCACTCCTTGCCGGACTGGCGCAATTATCACTTTTCTTGGAGTAAAATTTCACTCCCAAAAATTTAACGTTCAATTACATTAATTTTAAACAACAATACATTAAAACAAGTAGTTCAAACTGCATTGGACTGGCGAATACCAATTAAGGAAATTTCGGAATTAATACCAATTAGGTTTAAAATGTTTTTTCCGGGAGTCGATAAATAATATTAGGTGTTGGAATTAATTCGTAGCATTTTTAATGAAAGAATGTTATTTATTTCACATGAGCATTAAAAAATACATTAATGAAAGTACTTCCCATCACTTGTAAAACGCTACGAATTAATTCCAACACCTAATATTATATTTTTATAATAAGACACCGCTGCAAATCGCATATAATAAGATATGACGTATATCACTTTGTTTAAGTGACATAATCTATTTAATTTACAGACCATGCTTTTCGCGTGCCTCGTAGATATCGTTTATCGTACTTGCACCCACGCACCCGTAACAATCATTCGTGAGATTGTGCTAAAAAACACCAGTCGAATGATAGTTAGCGCCGATAGCATACACGACACCTAAGCCTGTCACAACTGAACAGGAAAAAGAGTAGAATACACCTTTAATCTTACATACCTATCGCCTAACTATCGCTGACTTTGCGGGCTAATTCTATTAACCATCTCTTGGCGAGCCTATCCATGTTTTCTATTCGTATTCCTGCGGGATTAATTTTGCGGATTCGTTTGCGAACCACGCTGTAAGTTTCCGCGTTTTATGGCTCTGCCCAGGCATGATCGACTCTCTTTCTAATCGCTGCGGCGTATCGCTAACTTTTTCGACGAACTCAATGTTTCCCATCTGCTAATGGCGTATTCCTCTAATCGCATTTATCCTAACTCTCCAACTAACTCCGGCTTACTGACTGTTTCGCGTTAACTTCATGGAGACACCATTATACTTTATATCACGCGTTTCTATCAACTAATAAAACATATCCATGTGTTTATACATTGATTAAAAATATTTGTTGAATGAGACAGCATAAATTATAAATGTACATGTAAAATTGATAAATTATACACTTGATTACGGACTGTTTAGTGTTCAGATTTTTTAATCGACATTTTATCCATGTATCATTTCATTGTGTGACTTTATTATGTTGCTCAATCGTTTAATATTTTAGTACATACACTGTCAATAAATGTACGTTTCCGGCATGCGTTTATTATTAGCTCGAAGAATTGGAATATTCAGGACACGGAAACAACGGATTAATTCGCATTATGAATATTTGATCGCATCGTGCAGAACCTGGCAGGATGAACTTTAAAAAGCTCTCTCCGATGCAAATTAATGCATGCCGTAAAAAAGGCCGGCGGACGCGGCTTTTGCGATACGCGATCCATAATTAAGTTGTAGATTAGTTTTAGTACTAGTAGTATTGAACGAAAATAAACCAAAGTCATACGCGAGCTATATCAAATCCTATTAGCCAACTAAAATTTTTACTTTAAATAACGAATTTATAGAAATGTAAATAATTCAAAGTAATAAATAAAAATACTTAATTTACTTAGTATCTGAAAATTTATGACATTTTATATATATATATCATTTGAAAATCGATTTTGAAATCGATTCTAGCAATAAATTTAATGTCTTAATCTTTTTTTATTTTATCTAAATTACATCTTCCATTACAAGAAACTGATAAAACTATCTAATTAATATTATTGTCTAAATATTTCTTTGCAAGTATTTCAAGGAAATAAATTATTAAAATATTTTAATATCAAATTGTAATAATAAAAGACACAAAAAATTATTATCTTCTTGAAATAATTCAAAGTACTTGGTATTTTTGTTTGTAAGATACTTCTCTCTAGCGATGTTCTTTCTACAAAGAAAATTGCAGAAAGAACGGTTTTGTTGAAGTATCTAAAAATTTAGTTAGATACAAATCTGAAAACAATTTTGTTGAACTAAATAATATAGAATGTTTAAGCTGGTGGCTAGAATTTAAAACGTTAAAACTTTTTGTAGTATTGCTCTTATTACGCTTAAGTTTCTTATAAAGTTATTTTGAGTATTTAAATTTTTAGATACTTCAGTACAATCATTCTTCCTTGTTTACAACTTATAATTAATAATCAGAATAATCGTGCTTAAACTATTTACTTCCTTTGTCCATGTACTCGTATTGTTTAAATATATTTCTTACTTTAGAACCTATAAGAAAAGCTTCCCTTTCTAAACTTCAGGTCACCAATGGTTGAAAACGAATCTCGACGTGATACCCGAGTCGGGCTGGTCCGTCGACCCGTTCGGCCATGGCGGTACTATACCCTACTTCCTCAAGGCTTCCGGCGCGTCCGGCACGGTGATCCAGAGGATACACTACGCGTGGAAGCAGTGGTTCGCCAAGAAACAGTACGGCGACTTCGTTTGGCGACAGCCGTGGGACCGCGATGGCGCAGCCGACATGCTCACTCACAATCAACCGTTCGACATCTACAACATCAAGCACTCGTGCGGTCCACATCCGCACGTCTGCCTCAACTTCGACTTCCGTAAAATACGCGGCGAATATACGGAGTACTCGGTTCGCGCCGTTGAGATCACGCCTAACAACGTTAAGCAGATGGCCGAGCTGTTGCTGGAGCAATATGCGAGAACCGGCTCGTTGTTCACTCACAATGTCGTGCTGATGCCACTCGGCGATGATTTTAGGTTTGCATAACTTTGTTTCGAAACTTCCATCATATTTATCTTTATAATTTATGAAAAGGAGAGCACAAAACCACAGCACGAGATATTGTTTGTGATATTTAATTATTGTAATGTTTTATTAATGTAATGATAATTAAATATCACGAACAATATCTTGTGCTGTGGTTTTATGCTCTTCTTTTCATAAGTTTTGATTTATAAACCACGTTCGTTTTAATTATATATTTATCTTTATAATTTTTTAATTTTTCCTTTTATTTTGTATTTTTCTTTGTAACGTTGTTGCTTCGAAAAAGAGACACATATATTTGATTGAAATTTTTTTATCATTTAAATTTATAAAATAATTAACACATAATTTAATTATAATTCGATAGAATAATGTTAAAATTTCTACTTTAAAATATAATTTCTATTTTAAAATATAATTAATATTGGAAGATACAATTAGTTGTTTTTATATTATGTAACATAATACATATTACTTTTTAAAACATACATATAGTATCTTCTTCTCATATATATATATATATATCAAGAAAAAATTATGATTGCTTCTATAATTAATGAAATGTCACGTTTCCTATTATTTGTATTACAGATACGACCACGCGATCGAGTGGGATCAACAGTACACCAACTACAAGATCCTGATGGACTACATAAATAGTCGGAAGGACGAGTATAATGCTGAGGTGGTGTTTGGCACGCCGAAGGATTATTTCCACGAGATACAAAAGCGCGTGAGCAAGTTCCCATCGTTGACAGGCGACTTCTTCGTATACTCGGATATTTTCAGTGAAGGTAGACCGGCCTATTGGAGCGGCTAATTTACTACCAGGCCATACATGAAGATTCTGGACCGCGAGCTCGAGGCGAATCTCAGATCTGCCGAGATCCTTTACACGATCACACTAAATCTCGCCAAGCAATCTGGCAAGGATATAAAACTTTACGAGACGTATTTCGAGAAGTTGGTTAAGGCGAGACGTAATCTGGGTCTATTCCAGCATCACGACGCGATTACCGGTACCTCAAAATCCTTTGTTATGAAAGATTATGCGTTGAAACTCTTCGAGTCAATCTCGGATACGACGAGCCTGCAAAGCTTTGCCATCCAGTCTCTCGCGGCCACCATCAGCGGCAAGTCAAATTCCGTCTATGTGTTGTCCGAATCGGATAGAGACAGCTACGAGAAGCTGCCGAAGAAGATACCAATCGGCGTGAACAGTCATGAGACTAGGAAAATCGTTCTGTTCAATCCATTGGCGCAGTCCAGGCAGGAAGTAATCAGTCTCAAAATTACGTCATACAAAATCAAAGTTTTGGATCCTCAGAAGAACCCCATACCTTACCAGATCGCGCCTGTGATGAACGCCACGAGCATTACGCATGATGTGTACGTCCTGCTTTTCGTAGCCGAGCTAAAGCCGCTATCAATCGCCACATATCACTTGCGGCAAGTCGACAAAGTGCCGGCAGAGGCTATCTCGACGGTGTATTGCAGCCGTTGTGGCAAGGACAATGTCTTTCCTATCAAACCCATGCAAGTGGGTGACGTACAGCTCGAGAATCAGCGAATGAAACTGCTGTTTGACGGACAGACGGGTTTCCTGAAGCGCGTGACGAAGAAATCCACCGGCAAGATCATGCAGTGCGCCGTGCAGTTCGCTGCGTATCCTTCGGCTCAGTTCCATAGTGGTGCCTACCTCTTCATGCCTGATCCTAATCTCCGGGACACCGACAAGGATGTCTTAGAGGCATACACGCCGCATCAGAAGATCTATATCATCAGCGGTAACTTGAGTTCCCGCCTTACCGTTGAGTATGGCAAATTACTGACGCACCATGTGGCGATCTACCATCGCGACGGCGGCCTTGGCGAAGCCATCTACCTACGCAACATTGTGGACTTTGAAACGCCGCCGAAGAATCGCGAGACGGAGATGTTTATGCGTTTGCAAACCGATATCTCGAACGGCGATCCGCCCGAGTTCTACACCGATTTGAACGGTCATCAGATGATCAAACGTACCAAGATCGAGCGCATCGGCATCGAGGGTAATTACTTTCCCATTACAACCATGGCTTACATCGAGGACTCGAGTCACCGACTGACGCTCTTAGTGAACCACTGCCAGGGCGCGGCCAGCTACCAGCCCGGCTGGCTCGAAGTGATGCTGGATCGCAGAACTCTATACGATGATTCACGGGGCATGGGTGAGGGTCTGCTGGACAATCGGCGGACTGTCATCAAGCATTGGCTCCTACTTGAAGATATAAGTGGTGAAAAAGACAAATACTCGAGACCGTCGCTGTTCGCTAATCATCTAAGCAACACTCTCAATTACCCGGTAAATATTTTCGTGGTGGACGGTAACGAGCAGGAGGTCACGATGACGCCGGAGGTCAGACTGCTGAGTCAAAGCTTCCCATGCGACCTTCATCTGCTCAATCTACGCACCAATCACGATCAGAAACTGCCACATTTCCCAGTGAACAGCGCGCTCATGGTGCTGCACCGGCAGGGCTACAGTTGTTCCGTGGGCATCGACGTGGCTCTGAAGCACTGTCCACTCATAGAGAGACTTGCGCAGGGCACCGCGTTCTACAAGCTCGACAAGGTCAACGTCACGAAGACGTCGTTGACTGGCACGAAGTCGGGCGCCCGTTTGAAAGACGGTTTCCAAGAGATCGGCCTGCAACCGATGCAAGTCGAGACGTACAATGTGAACTTCGTGCAATGATCCTAAGCCACAAGCCGATCGGCCGTCGACCCGTTCGCGTTGATCGGTTAGCAAAATTCCAAGAGTACACAGGCGTCTTGCCCCTTCCGAATGACACTGCCGTATATTAATCGTGTTGAATACTACCTCTGACTCTTTGTGTAACGCGTGACGTTGTTAGCGGCGAAGAACGGAACTTTGCGGAAGCGATACAGCAGCGAAGGTAATCAATAATTTCTGAGACGAAAAAAGTGACAAATAACGTTGACTACTCTAGGACAATTGAATTAAACAATTGATTCATACGATTGAATTTTATTAAAATACATGTTTTCGTTAAGAAGAATTTCGAAAACTCTTTTTAATCAATTTTGTATTCCATAGGCATGTGAAGGAGGCATTTTTACGTTTTCTTTTGACGCTAATTTCAACAATGTACTCTATTGGCCTAGAAATCATATTCTTACACCATTTTCTTTTCTCTTATATCTAATTTCTTTCACTAATTTTATTTAGAAAAAAGAAGGAAAAAATTTTCTTCTTTCTCAGATCAAAGATAAGTTTCATTGTAAATTGACGTGAGATCATTAATCATTAATGTAAGAACTTTCCACATCACTTCTCGAGTTTAGCTGAATTTCGCGAGACAATACTTCGCGTTGGTTGCATCACATTTACGGGAAATTTAAAAAAATGGCAAATATGTGAAGAGTTCGCGTGTAAATATTTCGATCAATGCAACACAATTAATTGCTAATCATGACAAACGTGCAACGCGTGCGTGCGCCATTGTACATATTGTTCCCTGTACGATGTATCCTTACGTTTTATTAATGAAAAGAGGAGTCGAGAGGGAGAGGGAAGGGAAGAGGCGTGAGATGTATACACGCAGATATATAAATACATTAGTAATTTACTCTAAACAGAGTCTGAGATATCTAATTAATACATGTATATTCGCTGGAACGAGATACTTGGGAACAGATTTATCTCGATCTCTATTTTACTCGTTTAAATTTTGAACAATTCTTTCATTATTTAGTACCTTTATCGCTGGAGTAATTTTAAGTTACTTATTTATTAAGATTTTAAACTTGAGATTCTTAATAAATGAATTTCTTTATTATTAACTTCCTATCGTGTAAAAATTTCTATTTTTAAATTTTATTATTTAATTTCTAAGATAGTTATCATTGTTTTTCAAATAATATTATAAAATAATATTTTTAGAGTATTTAATTTTCTACATTTCTTCACGAATGTAAAGCTTTTTTAATCGAAAAGTGATTTCACGGCGGAGATATAAAAGGGGCCAGAGAGTCAGGCCTACACAAAGAACAAAAGAATTAAAATTTTATACATATAGTAACTTAATTTTATCTGTTTGTACGACGTTTGTCGCTGTGAATAAATACACAGCGACTGACCGACAGAAATTTCTTTTATCAAACGTACAGAGGTATATGTGTATATATTGTATCGTATATGTATATATTACATATCAGATCGTAATTTACCCTAGACAATTACCGTAGATAATCTTTGTGATAGCGAAACGATGTAAAGAAAATCTTATACATCTATTTTCGTATGTCAAATATTTTGCTATCGACCCTCCCTCTCTCCCTCTCCGCGAGTATTGACAGTAAGTGTCTTCTTGTAGACGAAGAGAACGCGATTCTAAGGACATCCTCTTCACGTATTGTTTATGCAATCCGAGAATGTAATAAAATGTAATGCGTGTAAAATGAACTTGCGTGCCAGACGATGAAAAAGTTATCTCTTGGAGATAAGACGCGGAAAGAGCGAGTCTTCACAAAGTATAAATTATACTGTAAATAATTAAATAATTTGACGAATTCTTGTAACTAACGATCGTCACCATTGTGAAATCTGTTTCTTTTTTTTCAACTTCCAAGACGTTTATGCGACGTGATAATCTGTCAAAAATCGATAACTATAAAATACCGTACTTTCGAGATGTTCTTTGTTATGAACGAATGCGCGATAAGTATTGAGATTTGTGTATGATAAATGTCGCAGAGAGATTTTGCGGTATGTATCGTCGCGTGATGTTTCCAGTGATCTTCCACTTCCATGGAGAAACTCGAAGTGTCCCTTTTTGCGGCTGTATTGTCGGTCCGATTTGTATATATTAGATTAATTAATGGAAAGTCGTGCAGCTTCCATGCGCAAGTGAACCGTTCGCATTCCTCCAAGGCGAGAAACATCGGAAGGAATGGGACGGTAAAATTAGTTTCTTCGAGGGTGCAAGTAATGTTGTAAAACGTGGCCGCTACTTTTGCGTAAAAACGGCAAAACGTTTGCTGTTTCTCCGTGCACGTACTCATAGTTATTATGAAGCAGCATTTTTTAATTTACACGAAAGATACATTATCTACGTAAATTTTCTCACTTAAGATCGTGTTCATAAATGCGATGCGAATTTGTGTAAACTTCCTGGTAATTTTATGTGTTATCTCGATATTCTATCGCACACGTGTAAACTTCTGCCCACAATTCTAATGCTTGAACCATCAGACGATAGAATTCATTCATTTTCATGATTAATTTATTCAGTTATTTACAATTAATCGACATATTTTACCGTCATATTATCGCTAAGAGATGTAACAAGTTGCGATTAATTGCTTTTTTAGCGGTACACGATTATATTTGTCGCGCCAAATATTATGCATGTTTTCGTTATAAAAAGAATCCGTTTTCGTTGTCAGTGTCAAATTGTTGCCGTTTGATTTCAGTTGTCCTTTATTTCTTAACGCGAATTATTTCGCGAATTAAATCGCAAATTTGATAAAAATTTAATATCGAACGAAAACACGCAACTTTACGTTTACAAAGTTGAAAAAGTCAAGCGGCGGAAACATCCATCACGATACGATTTGATTACCGGCGGTAATTAAACTTCGTAAAGCATTGGTTATTAAAATTTTTTCGATAGACTTATGGCTCCGATAAATTTCACGGTTCACGGCGCGAACGAATTTATACGGGTTTAACGATATTGTGTAAATAGAGGATCGATGAAATCGTTAAACCGATAGATCGTAAAGAGTAATGGAAAATAAAGGATGGACGGATGTGCGCGGGTAGAGTGTAGAAAGTTATTTCCTTCGAGCTCTTGTCACTTTTAATCATCACCGTAGCACATTATCACGTTCAATCTTTGGCCGGGAGAAGATTTGCAAAAATAAATTTATCCGCTTACACATATATCGATCGCTTGATAGAACTATCCTTATTTCGAAGTATCATGATAACTAAATCGATCTCTTAATCGTATTTTTCGGATACGTTCGAACCGGCGTTTAATCGAGCGAATTAATAAACGGTATTAGCTTGTACTTTAATTTTATCCGTTTGATATTATTTTATTTATTTCGGTAGTATTGTTTTATTTGCACTAACGACACTGCCCACGATAACATATTCAGTCGTCCGCTCCATTTAAGCTTATACGTAACAAATCAAAAAAAGAGCCTCAAGCAAAGAAATCTCGCCGTACAGTTCTATGGGGTATGGATTCAATTCATTGTTCGAATGTTTTTCATATCGTGAAGTAGCACTCCGTTTAAGAGTACCGTCGGATCTCTGCGTCGAGATTTCTGCAAATGTCGAAATTTCTGCTAAATTCGACTAAATGCCCGAAATTGCTGGGCGACCAAGTCGTTCGGTGCCACAATGACTGTCCCTGTAACGATATTGTAACATACTGTATGTTTTGTGCCGTCGTTAGAGAGAAAGAAGTGTTCTATATCACAAAGAATAAAGTTATATTACATGTTCACACACACACACACACGCTGTCGCTCGGACGATTCGCAAATTGCCCGCCGTTTGGAATCGCGCGAGCGCGGGACGCGCAAATGGCGATGATTACATACGATATTCCTTATGTTACAATGTAATATTATATTTATTAAATAAAATTAGTAACTGACGTATTTTGATCAGTCGCGTTGTTCTCTATGCCGAATGGCCCTCCTTCGATAAAAGCGGATAAAAGTAATCGTGGAAACTGTTGAAAGACTCAATAAAATTTAATCTTTCAGTGTCATATAGTCACGTTTTCTTTGTAACTCTGAGAAATTTGAAAGGTCTGAATTACTCTTTTTTCAAATAATATGTCTAATCTTTCTACAAGTTAATAAGAAGGTAGGAATGCTATACAACCAAATATACAATGAGTTATTTTTGTTAAGAAGCTCAATTATCTTTCTGCATAAATAATATGTACAATCTTTCTACAAAATTTTTATTCACTTCTGATTTTTGTATACACGTTGTCACTTTTTTATCGTAGTTCTAATGAAGTATTTATAACATATACTATCTTTTTGCAAAATTTTGTTGATAAAATGATATTTGATAAGAATATTTGAAATGTGCAAGAAATGTGCAAGAAACGTCGTGCAATAAATATGCAATGAATATTTTTATTAAAAGCGGCTTAATTACTATTTTTCTTCAAATAATATATACAATATTTCTGCAAAAATGTTCAGCCTTTTCCATTTTTTTTTCGTATAAATACATACGATGTTTGATAAGAATATTTAAATTTTACAGGAACGTCATGCTATAAATATTTGTGTTTTCTTAATTAATTCTTGCAGATATGTAAATTAACCAATTAATGACGCAATAAATATCGACCAGTGTTTTTTTTTCTTCTTGTTTTTCCAGGTAGTATTAATAAAGAGGTGAGTATATAATTGCGAAACCGGAGGGACCATCTGGACTAAATGTTAATCGATACCATTCCTTGGCGCATAACTTTCATTAATGGCGATTGTACGATCTTTCTTGCAGCGATAAGTGCCTCGCTTATGCCAATGTCTCCCGTACTGACCATCTAATTGAATTCACAATAAGACGAGAACTACAGACGCGGAATCAAGAAAATTTCGAGACTCCTATCACGCGAAGCAGATTAATTTACATATTCCATCATCGACGACACTTAGGTCTCCTACTGAAGTCCGACATTCTTTTATATTACCGATCCAAATAAAACTGCGAGACCTAAATAATTAATCAGATTATAAAATCATAAAAACAATTGCTTGGTTTTGCAATTATATTAAAAAATGCAAAATTTCTCGTGTATTTCTCTTCAGTGTTATTCTAACAACTTCATATATTTTAATCTTTGTGCTGTAGCAACGAATTGGATTAATTTTACTTAAAATTCCTATTCACTCACCACTACTATCTTAAATTACGATGTCAAGTGAAAGAACTCAATAAAAATTCTTGCAAATTATATTTAAAGAAAAATATTTTT